AATACTGGTCAGAATGCAGGTTGAAATGCAGGCTAAACTAATCAAACAACAGGTTGAAATGCAGGTCAAATACTCGTCAAATACACTCGTCAAATACTCGTCAAAATACTGGTCAGAATAACAGTCTAAATACTAGTCAGACAACTGGTCAATATGTGGATTAAACAATCGTCAAACAATCGTCAAATACCGGTCAGAATACTAGTTTAAATACTCGTCAAATACACTCGTCAATTAAACTATACAGTGCATTTGATATTCATACATTACACAATCAATCGTTAGTGAATATGCCAGTCATCGATATGTATTGTAGTCAAATGAATGTATCGGCCATTGTAACATGAATATATGATGTGTATACAGTCCAAACTACAGTGTAGTATCGTGTGTTTTGAATGTGTTCCAGTTGCGTCCAATTCAGTCGACAGTCGTGATTATAACATGTTTCCAATTTGATTGACGATATGGCCTGATGCATGTCCAGTATATAGTATGCATGTATACTCATGTTCAGTGTCAATCGCATGCATGTAGTGTCACTATTGGTCAAGATATATCCAATCTTGGTATCATGTCAAATACTAGTGGTAAGTATAAATTGTATATTTTTTTTGTAATTTCATGGCAATACATGCATGCATCGTACATACCAATGCAATATCTATATACTGTAGCAGTTTCATGCAACTAGTGTCAGTATTGGTCAAGATATTCGACATCAAACACGTCAAAACGACACTTTCGGACATGCATTTGATGGCCATGATACACATTGATATACTGCCCCAATGACGACGTAATCATATACACAATACATGACTGTATGTGTGCCATACATTGCAGTTGATTTCGACATTGTATGACCACTGTAGACCGAGTTATTAACACGCCAAACATCGACTATAATATCCAACCTACAAAACGTCAGCTATTTAATTATTGTGTTATCAAACATGCATGGATTGCATTGAAATTGTACATGATACAATACCAAGTATATACAAGTATTGTCATGTCACCATATTGACACAGGCTTGAGTATTGGTTGTGAAATCGACCATTTAGTACGCGATTGTGATGATGCAAATGATCCACTTTGAACGCATATAACTTGGCCAATAGCAGTTATTTACCAGCCATATTTAAACTGGTTGTGTATATAGTATATCACCATTGATTGAGCATGCATATGCACGGTTTGCAGACATTTATAATTTGTGTTGAGTGTGTTCCAGTTGCATCCAATTCAGTCGGCAGTCGTGATTATAACATGTCTCCAATTTGATTGACGATATGGCCTGATGCATGTCCAGTATATAGTATGCATGTATACTCATGTTCAGTGTCAATCGCATGCATGTAGTGTCACTATTGGTCAAGATATATCCAATCTTGGTATCATGTCAAATACTAGTGGTAAGTATAAATTGTATATTTTTTTGTAATTTCATGACAATACATGCATGCATCGTACATACCAATGCAATATCTATATACTGTAGCAGTTTCATGCAACTAGTGTCAGTATTGGTCAAGATATTCGACATCAAACACGCCAAAACGACACTTTCGGACATGCATTTGATGGTCATGATACACATTGATATATTGCCCCAATGACGACGTAATCATATACACAATACATGACTATATGTGTGCCATACATTGCAGTTGATTTCGACATTGTACGACCACTGTAGACCGAGTTATTAACACGCCAAACATCGACTATAATATCCAACCTACAAAACGTCAGCTATTCAATTACTGTGTTATCAAACATGCATGGATTGCATTGAAATTACACATGATACAATACCAAGTATATACAAGTATTGCCATGTCACCATATCAGCACAGGCTTGCGTATTGGTTGTGAAATCGACCATTTAGTACGCGATTGTGATGATACAAATGGTCCACTTTGAACGCATATAACTTGGCCAATAGCAGTTATTTCCCAACCATATTTAAACTGATTGTGTATATAGTATATCACCATTGATTGAGCATGCATATGCACGGTTTGCAGACATTTATAATTTGTGTTGAATGTGTTGTATGTGACCATTTGAAACTCGACTAATTGTGGTGTATTTTGACATGTATTTTGACTGATGTTTAGCGTCTGTTCATGTGTCATTGATGTGTCATTGATGCACCATTGACATGCTGTATTGTCCAACATTATGTGGTGATGTTGCAATCAACAAATTGGTGCAACACTGAATGTATGTGGTGATTGTCGAGTATCGAGTTCATCTAGTTGTTTCTTGGTGTTTTCAATATCTATAAGCATCTTGTTCATAATTCCAATGTATGTGTGTCAATGGCTTGTTGCTCATAATGTGTATTTGCTATTAGGTTATCAACTGTTGGTAGTTGTGGTCTGAAGTCGCATGGAACATGTCAACAAACTGCGTATGTTCTTGTACAATTTGCGATATTGCATTTGTAAACAATGTGTCAAACCGACGTTGAAAGTGGTTCCAAATTGTCGATTGGTGTTTTGATATTGATGGAAATTGAAGTCTAGTTTCCATTCCACATGGCGTTCTAAACGCTTTGCAAAATTCACAGTAGCATGGTTCAACAGAGTGTTGGGTATTGGTGTATATCAAACACTGTGGGATTTGAAACCTTGACCAGTTATTGAGGTGACTGTGGTAAAAGACATGACCTGAATGCCACTACACAATGGTTTGTTGTACACTCCAGTGTGCGTTGGTTGGTCGAGTAAGCTCTGATATGTTATTGTTGTATCAAGTTGTTATACAACAAACTATCAACGTCAGAAATACAGAGTCAAGCTGATTGAACTCTGAAAATGAGAGCCTCGACTATAAGTGTTCAAATCTGTGATATTTGACAGATCTAGTCACTTGTTCAACCATAACCATCATATCTTTTAGTTCTGGAACCAAAACAACTATGTCGAGTGGTAAAACAATTGTTCTTGTCACAGACGTTATGCTGTATAGTTATGGGTCATTTCATTGCAGCTGTGCGAGATTATGTCATGCCAAAGTCTTGGGTTTCAGTTTGTAGTCAAGACATTCTGAACTTGACAAAGTGTTTAGTGTTTCCACTCGGTACACTGTAGATTTGTCATTATCAGACTCTGGACTCGAACAAGACATTGCAAAGTGGATATGTGACAACCTCGTAAAGTCACCAACACTCGGACAAAGTGATGTTGGTAGTGCTCGAATGGACTTTTACCAGGCACACATTTGTCAGCCAACTATTTCAAGCATCTTGAAATGGAACAACACATACAGAAAGCTCACTCTTGTAAGCGACTGATGAATTGGCAAGAAAGAGTTTGTCAAGTATTGAAAACATTCGCACAATAGAATCAAATATTTGGATTACAATGGACGAGTTGGGTTTAAACTTGGTGATTGTACAATGTATGGCTATACAAACAGAGGTGAAAGAGTACAGTCCAAAAACAACATTTCAGTTCAAAACTATAGTCTAATAGTGTGTGTTTCATATGACGATCAATATGTTTAGAGATTGATCAAGGCAGCAGTGAATGCTGTAATATTAACTTGTTAAACAATGACATGCAACATTCCCAAACGGTTCCAAACGGTCACTTTATTCTAGACAACATTCCATTCCACAAAACAACTCTAATTAGACATGGTTTACCAACTATTCAACAAACAGCGCGAGGTTTGGAACTACACTATACAGCATCATACTGTCCATTCTTGAACCCTGCTGACAATTACTTTGGTGTTTGGAATGACTGTGTGTGCTGAGCCATTCCAAACACCAAACAACTTGTAGCTTCAATAAAACAAATCCATTTCCAACAACAACAATGAATATGTAACGATTGTTTATTCCAAGACAATCATTACAAGATCAATACAGAAAAGTATTTGATTTTACGTGAATACGACTGTAAAATAAACTTGGGTGTTAAACCACAAGATTATCTCATACAAGCAAACCATACGAGTGTATTTTGGCAGTGCTACAAGTTTGTTGACCAACTCATGTATGGCGATATCAGCAGAAACTCGATTGATCCAACAGCCATAAATACACATTGTTGTCAGTTACATCGAGTGATTGTCCAAATAGGTCGATTCAGATGGGTTGCATATAACCGACTAATCCAGCATTCATCCATTGTCAAACAACCATAATGCACAATACCACCAAGTGTGTAATTACACCCGCACTGATCAGTCGTTGCACAGTATGCATCGGTCAATGTCAAACATATGTGTGTTTGCAACTAAATTGCAGTCCATGACACATCCATACGATTCAACATGGCAAATCATGTATCATGAGTCCAAGATTGATCAAAAACCTGATCATGGTAAACACAGCATGTTGTTGCATATCAGAGTCGATATATCGAGTGACAGTTGTACACTTGCTGATGGTGCACAGCGTATCAGTCACAATACATGCACGGTATTGCATTGCAGTTATTGGATGATAACTGGTTGCAATGTGATACCGATCGACATACATCAGCATGGTGTGATGTGACCATAATCATGATGGAATGTGTTGGAGTTGACATTGTGAGTTGACAATCGATACACCATGCACATGAATGGAACATATATATTCGAGTGTGGTTTGGTTGGTGTCAGATTGATCATGCAGTTGCATCGGTGCAACGAGTGAGTGAGCTAATGGTGATCTGAACCCATTTCAACAACAAGTATTGACAGTCATGGATTTGCATGCATTCAATATGTGTAGCACACCGAATGATCAGTCATGCCAGCACATAGTAGTTGATTGGTGAAATATGATCAAACCATTAGTATAATACACTATTGTTTGGCAATACACGATGTTTATTGAATGAACGACATTGGATGCATGGCACATGACAATTAAACCAGCATGCAATACACGCTGCATTACAACATATACTGGATGAGACTGTGATGGTTCACTCAACTCCAACATCGTGACAGGTCTATGGTTGAAAAGCTTGCTGCTGAGCATCCTGCTCAATCGTAAAATACACTTGAAAAGTAACTGTAGAAAAAGTCAAAACAACTCTTGTACGAGTGATACGATTCCAGGTTTATATTATCGTCAGAATCTGTCACCTCAAACTTATGGTGATGCTCAAAGTAATGTTTAAGCTCCAATTCTTGCTCAGAATCTTTTTTAAGCCTAATCCGATACCCATCAAGAATTTTTTGGAGAATCTCTTGGAGTTCATCAAGAAACTCACGCTGGGTTCTAATATTAGCTTCAAGGTCGAGGTCTACTGATCCTTGACCCGAGGCTCTATTTAGAAAGTCAAAATCTTGCTCCAGATTATACAGCAAGTTTTTTGAGCCTTGATCCGAGCATCTACATTGTGAATATCTTTCTCTATTTTGTCGATTTTAACTGAAAGTGTTGCGTGTTCTTCGATCATGAATACTCCATCCAAGCCAATTGAATAGCAATACTTGCCAAACTCATTATATGATTTTAATTTTTTCGGATAATCAAACCTACTAAAAGTGTTCAAGATGCTAGCTTTAGCACTTACAGTTTCAGTTGCACTGGGAGGAACTGTCGCAGTGCTGACTTTAGCACTCATGGTCGAACTGTGATCAACTGGATTGGCAACTGTGACCGAGAAGACAGCAAGGATTGATGACAGTACGGCAATTGAGAATTTCATTTTGGTGGTTGGTTGAGCAAGTTGTAATGTCATTCAACGAGCCAGTTTTTGAACTATATTTATATCCATTATTGAATAAATGATATTAAAAGCATATTCCTTGGATGATCGTCCTAAGGGATTTGTGTTACTATCAGGGTTGGTGTTGATTTGTTATCAATGTTGAAATGACTTTGAAAGACTCTTTCTTTATATAATTGCTTATTGAAATTGGAAGCGTAGCATCAGGGTGTAATTTGTGTAGAAATACTGTGTAATGGCACCATAATGCGACAAGGATACCAATGACTTGTATATGATAATTCAGTTATCTATACGACTATTTGTCACCAATACAATAGTATGTGACATGATCATATTGCACCAATCGACCAATATACGATCACTGGATACATCACACGTCGGTGTTTACCACTGCATATGTGTGGTGTATATTGGTTATAGTCCATGATATCAACGAGTTTATGCATACTGCTTACACCACACATCATACACATCAAACCGACTCGGTGATATGCAAGTGTTGCGGTTTGACCAAATCACAATCATCCAATATTGTCGACTGTTCAACTTGTTGATATTCAAACCGTGCCATCACTAGTCACAATATAATGGTTGACTGGTTCGTTTGATTGATCTGACATTGACACTTTGCAAACCTCGACTTGATTCATCAGCTTGGATATTCATATAATATTGGGTTTGTATCATCACGTTGGACTCGTTATCAAACACCTTGATGTGTCCATGCAACCCAAACTCGATATACACACATTAGTTACTGTTTGACATGACTGAGTCGATCATCAATACCAGACAATGCAACTGTATTAGTTGTATGATACAATCAATCATGGTTGACTCATCACCATCAAATATCAAATGTTGATCACGTATACATTGATTTGTAATTGCATGGTCTGTTGGCAATACACACTATGATATGATTGACAAGTTGTTGATTTGCAGTAATCAGATGTGCATCACCTGTAACATTGGATGCAATTGACGAGTTGTAACCACCAGTCAACAGTCATGGATATGTTGGTGATTGTGTTGACTACATGATTGGTATTGGATTAGCTGTCATGATCGATTGGTGGACAATACAATCCACATTGATTATGACGTGTTGCAACTAGTTGATATATGCAGACTCGACTGATGATCGAGTATATGTTGATGAGTAACTCTGTCACTGTTTGGTTTGAGCTGATCATTGCTACCGCTTGTATATGCAGTGTATACATGTGTGATGTATTGGATATCGGTGTTGTGTATGTTGGACAATATATTGTCATGTCGCATCAAATCGCACCACATTTAGAATGCAATAATTGACTCGTTGATTTAATGATCGACTCGACTCACATTCGACTGTAATGACCACAAATCTGCATTTCTGATCGATACGCATATATCAACATGTATCAGACTCGGACATGGTGTATATCAGTTGCATATACCAGTCACTGATGCAATTGATGATGATCGATTAATCAATCAATTGGATATCAACACCAATGTCAATCCATTACCACATGGATACTTGCAGTTGTGACCTGTATTCAGTCAGTAATATTGGTTCATGTAGTGTATTGTATAGTCAACCATGCACATGCACATACACATGCATGTCATTGTCAATTGATGGTCGTTTGTAAACAACTTGTGGACAACTTGCAAATATTACAATCATGGTGATTGCTTGAATGTCAATACCAAGCCATGCGTTTGATGGTCATTTACTGTTCAGTTTACTGTTCAACAATGCAAATGGTCGTTGTCTACCAATCAGTCGAGTCGTAGACATGAACTGCACATTGTGCGTATCGCTTTGTTCATGACCAAACTGTAACAATGTGCACTTTGCATTGAGTTTGAACTGCAATCTGCGACTTGTACGCATTATGATGCATTGTTTCAATATTCATGTTGCATTCATCAACATCAACGTGCAGTGTCGATCTGATGTTTGGTGTTGATGTTGTGTTGATATTCCAACAACACTGAATATCCCAAATCAGGTCAGCATTGACTCATGTGATAATAATCCATGGACAGTCGGTTGTACCAAACTGTTGTACAAGCATATTGTCATTTTATCAATCAAAAGTAGTATAGATAGAACACCCAATGATACCAGCTTTTTAACCGACACTTACTGCTAAATCATGTACAAAGTTGTCAAAACATAAATTATTCGCAGAAAGGAATTCAAGTCAAAAGTATTAGGGTAGAATAGTCAATAGCTTTGCTTGTAATTCATAATAAATACGAGTTATTTGTGCCAGACTCATACTTGATGCCTCAAATTGGATACAATGGGTAGTTTTTTAACCAGTACTAAGTGTTAATGTACACAGACTGGGTTTAGCTGGATCTTGTTGTAAGAATGATAGAGTATAAAATCAAACCATTGACAAGTCCGTGTTTATCGAGTACGAGTCTTTATATTTCCAATCAACTCTTCCAAATGTGATATTGTGTCTTGCAATGCCAAAATGGATTCAAATTTGCTTGATTACACTATGCATTTGGACATCATTGCTGATCTGTTGAATTCCACGCTTTCTTTGATCATCTTTTTGATACTCTAGCATATTCCATTCATAATTGTGTCTAGCCTCCAACTCTTGATCCTGGCTCATCCCCGGTTGTTTTTGTCAATACCATTGATTGGGAATAAAACCAGAATCAACCCGCTGTTTATCACGTATGGCTATTTGATTCAATTCAGTTGCAAACAATTATTTGTAAGAGTATACTTTCCGGTACTCCTTGTATCATACCAGCATCTCTTGAAACAGCTGCTTTTGTGCTTGTAACAATCCCTGCAGTGTTTTGTCAGCTGGGAGTTTGATTCAAGTTTGAAAACCAAGATTATCGACTGGACAAATCCAATGTCAACCAAACTGCTGTACAGTTTGGCAGTCAATTGATTGACCATAATTGTAAGCAACAAAACAACTTTTATTTGCAAAAGAAAAAGGAAAACGCAGTTTGTTCTTGAATCAAAATATTAGTTTCAAAACTGTATGGTGAAAAACAGTCTTGGGATATGCAATTATTTACAAGAAACTATAGGTTTCAAAACCAAAGCGATTAAATTACACGATTGGGAAGTTCCTGACAATGAAAGTGGTCATTTCCACAAAGTGAGGTTTGTTGTCCGATGGAACCCATACGATATTATTCACCTTTAAGAAATCAAACGCCGTGTATTGTGTAGAACGAGGTCGAGAAACAGAGTTAGGATTAGCGTTATGCGGCCAATAAAAATCATTAATTCTAGTCTACATACCTTATTGATGAGATGGTTCAAACGTCAAAACAAATCGAGTCAACTTCTCAACACTCGCAATAGTATTGTTTTGTGACAACACTCGACCATCTGTTCCATGGTAGCTTTGGCGTGTAAAACAGGCAAAACGATCAGGAGGTACAACACAATACAGTCCTGGTTTTGACGGATTACCAAGTATTTCCAAAACATCACAAATCCCAGTCTGTTTGCAAGGATGATCTTTGGCACCGGTCATTTGGAAAAGTAGATTTGGCTTGATGAACGAATCAACAGATTCAAAAGTATTACTAATGGGACGGAAATAGCAATTCGTTGCATTTTGAACTTGAGAATTGTTGGAGAATAACAAAGTACTAAGATCCATTGGCAGTTGAAGTGTAGACTCCAGCTTGGTACGTAAATCACGAATCTTGAATGAACCACCTTTAGCGATGACTGTATGAGCGTGCTTTTCAAATAATACCCTATTAAGTTGGCCAGTTTCACCAATTTCTCGAGTGACAGAAACGAATCTGATAAGATGATCTCGGTCTCTGGCATAGACACGGTTGTAAATTTCATCAACCACATAGTCAGAAGCAAACTGATAAGGACCACTGTGGAAGCCATCACTGACTGATCTATGAATCAAACAACTTGAAGCGTCTAGGTTTTCACCATATTTACCAAAAGACTTGACAACTGAATCGATATTGGAAACCTCTAAAGCTTTGTCGAGAAAATCCTGTTGTTCTTTTACCAATGCATGTTTAAGAACATAACGAGCAATTCCTCCACACTTCAAATACAGGCTTTCAACCAATTCTTGTGGAACTGTAGGAAACAGCATTGAGCGACAAGAATGCAATTCTTCTTTTGACCACACTGGCATATACCGAATGTCACAGGATCCCTTGCAAAACCGATGTCAAATTTCCCGACGAGGTAAAGTAACAAGAATGGTCTTGGCATCAACATCAACAGGTGCCGAGCCATCAACAATGTAGAATGTTGACGAGGAATCCAAGATTTCCAAAAAGCATCCTTTCCTCCTTCGAGTACACCATTGGGAGTAAGCAGATATCTTTTTTGATCAGCTCCACTCTCATACACGACTGTAGCACCAGAGCGAGCAAGATGCAACAGCAAAAAGTAACCAAAATATGTCTTGCCAATTCCAGGATTTCCAAGGATGATCAAATGACATATATCAGCAGATTGCACAATAGATAGTGATTTTTCAAGAAGTTTAGGATAACAAGGACGGATGCAAATGGATGATCCGATTGAATGGTTTCCAAGAATGAATATGTCTGCTGGAAGTTGGACAACAGTGTTTCCTTCAAGAGGGTTAGGGTAGTTTGTGAAAGCAGTCCAAAAATCCAGTAGTGCGGGTGAGGCTGCTGCAGATGCTGAGCCTAGGTCAGTTTGAGTAGGCTGTATTGGAGGTAGTGGTAAACAACCAATAACAACACAGGAGCCTCCTTGAGTAAAGTATTATTGAGGAAGAGAGCTGAATAAAGCCCAGGTGTTGATTAGTTGGTCCTTGTTGGTGTTGGTGTAGAGTTGCAGTTGAGGAGCATCAATGTCAGCCATAGCAGGACCATACTTTGCCTTGATAACATCCTGAACGTCACTCAGGTTTTCAAAGTCAGTCACATTGATTTCAGTAGAAATAGTGTCATATTCAACATTGAGGAATCGTTTTGGCATTTTATGAAAAGAAAGAATAAAAAGCAATTTATTTGTCAAATTGTAAAACAAAAATCGACTTTTTAATCGAGTCAAAATAACAAAATTTTGGGATATTTCAAGACAATTCACACGATTTAAATATTTGGAAATTAGTCAAATTTACACCAGAATTAATGTCTCATTAATGTGAGACATTACTAGTGTGAAAGTGTTGACTTGCATTGTGTGAGACATTAGTAGTGTGTGAATGTGAGACATTTCTGAATAGTTTAACAATCAAAAACCATCAACAATGACGTTTGAACTGGAATTCACATGACTTTCTTGGTTTCTTCCATTTTATAAACACACTCACTTTCTTGTTAATAAACAACACAATCGAATATTGATTCATTCCATCACACCTTCAATCAACTGCAACACACTTGACAATAATGACAACCATCAATATGCCATCATATGTTCACGATCCTCAAATTCAAAAGTCAATTTGAAAACCCCATTTTTAAGCATCTACAAGTCTGCAATATCAGATTTGTGGCTGGTACATAATAGGTTGCCAATAAAAGTCGACAAAGTGAGCAACTGCAATGTGCCTTGCTGTATGATAGTAACATATCAGAAATTATGAATGCTTTCAAAATCAAAAGTCTGCAAACGATGTCACTGCTGGTTTGTAGCCTCTGTTTACAAACCTACAATCAATATATTCACTGGATTCGTATAATGGTAAATGCTGAACCACAAACCGCTGATGATATTATTATGGACAATGCTCATATTATTGGAAATCAAACGATTGATGCAGTTTCAGATGCTGTTTCATCACACAGAAAGTCTTGCTACAGAGTCTGAATCCAATAGCAGTGAATCTGCAGTTTGACACAACACAGTCAATAATTATCGTTTGAAACTCGAATCAAGTGATGATGTTGCTGTTTCAGATACACTCAATGTCATCAATGCAGTAACATTGAAACCAACTCAAATCATTGATCATGAACCAATTTACCGTGTCTTGATAAAAACACTGATAAACCATCATTCATACATGAGCTTGTCAAAAGTATGAACTGATTGCTGACCAGATGTTTAAAGTGAAACTCAAAACAGTGCAATTCAATGTGCAGCTTTCCAACGACTTTCCCGCTACAAAAAATACAGTCTTGGAACTCAAAGTGTACATCAACAATACTTGTGTGTATTGACCATCAATGATGTTGTTGGTGTAGCATACACAATGTGCATTGCATAAACGCTTGTTTGTTTGCTGGAGCTATTTCAAGCAAGCAAAAATACTAAAAGGTTCAGTTTGATGAATGTCTGGTGTATATTTACAATGAATTCAAACTCGAGAGATTGTCGTATTTTGCATACAAGACATACTACAATCTATTACAACAATATCGTGTATTTCAATATACACCCATTCGATTTACAACAGTGGCATAAACATCATCACATTTGAACAATGGTTCAGTCGTACAAAGTCCAATAACAGCCATGAATTGTATCAGACATGAACATACTGGTGCAAAATTCACATCAAATAACACACCGCAACAAACATGTTTCTGGTAGATGGTGGAATTGATGTCATTGATTTTCAAGTACACGATATTGGTGTTGAATGATTCAATAAACTATACTCGTCGACTTTGTGTACTTTTTTTCAGTTGCACCGTTTCTGATTCCGAGTTTGAAGCATAATAGCTGCGACAGCGCTGTTGTCCAATTTGCTTGTTGTTGTGAATAGTAATCATGATACCACTTGTTTGACGCTTCTTGTTGTTGAACTGGATATGTATGTCAAATTTGGATGCCAAATATGAATGCATTGCAAGTAATTGGTGTAGTTTTTGATCGAGTCAATGAATGGCATTTATAGTTGCTCTAGAAAACAAGTTGTTTGAAATGTCCTGTCATATGTCATATGTTTTGTTGTTTTCATGTTCACTAATTGTTGATAATGCATCCAATTGATTTCTGTTTTGACGCTGCTTATTTGTCATTGTTGGATCTGGGTTTATAGATTCAGTAACAAACGTTTCAGCAATTTGGATGTGTTCAAATTCATAATACTTGCAAGTCTGAATTATTTGATCATCATCTGAAATTGGATACGAGTAATCATTTCCACTGACCACAGTATACATAGTATACACAGCATTACTGTATATTGACTTGTATTTTACTCAAAGGTTTGTCCATTCAGTATTACAACACAATTTCCAACATCGATTGAATGGTTTGCAGTGTTTGTTTTAATTGAACCACTTGATGGATCACTTTCATATCTTGATTCAGCAATATCACCAACTGCACAATGATGGATGTGATTGTAGTCAAACACAATATGTTGCAAGGCATTAACGTATTGGTTAGTTTTAGTATATTCTTGATAAAAGGCAATGATGTTTTGTAATGGTGTGTTGAATCCTTCAATCAAACATTGTCTGTTGTGATTTCCAACATTGACAGTGACATGGCAAACACCTTTTGCTTGTGACAGACTTTGAACAAGTGTATTGCTCCGTTTGTTGTACAATACACGACATGGTCAGTTGGTGATATCATGCAACTGACAAGTGATTGCAAGTATGACTGATGGTTACAATCAACACTGGTTGTTATCAGGTCATTGATGTATATGGAACAAACCATGTCAATATATCAATCAACAATCCAATAACTGTTGATGTAATACCCAACACAATATACAATCAATGATATGGTTGTTGATCCGTTCACAATACTCGACAAATATCAACATCAAAAAGTTTAAATTTATTCAAAATCAAATTCATTGGCAAACCATCAATCCAAATCCGGTTCTTCAAATCTCAAACCATGCCTTTCCATAAACTTTTTCAATTTATATCTGACACTATATACTCTTTTCCTTGCCGCTACATACTCTTGTTCCAATTTCTTTTCAGTGTCTGGATCGTACGTTGAATCAGATATTTCTTTGCCCATTGCTAACGCTAACTGCTGACTGAATTTGAGGTCTGCATGTTTACAATATTCTTCGCGTTTTTCTTTTGCAATCTTTTTAGACTCTACAAGTCTTTTCTTCATGCGATCAAAGGTTCTCTGATATTTCTGACTTAATACAGCCACTTGATTTGTAACAGCATTGCCTGACTCGCCTTGTTCCATTGGTTGTTGTTGGTCTTGTCTGGAAGTACTTGGAATGGGTTGATCAATCGGTTGTTTTCGATCTCGTTTGGCAGACTCGCCTTGGTTCATTAGTTGAGCCAGACGCTTGGCTAAAAATGCTTGGCCTGATTTCATTGATTGGCCGTTTCCGACTTCGTTTGGAAGTACTTGGACTAGGCTGACTCATTGGCTGTTGCTGACTTTGTTTGGAAGCGTTTGGACTGACTTGATCAATTGGTCGTTGCTGGTTTTGTCTGGAAATCAGTAAATCAATCACATCCATTATGCGCTTTCGACCTTGTTTGAAAGTACTTGGACCAGTTATAGTTGCAGTCGGTCGTTGACCTTGAGTGGGAGTGTTTAGACCGGGTTGATCCATTGGTTGTTGCCGGATTCTGCCGGAAAGGCTTAAATCCACTGGTTCTTCCTGGTATTCATTGGAAGTGCCTGGACTGGGCTCATTGGTTGGGCTGGACACTTGACTGGAAGTGCCTGATGTGTGGGTTGAACGATCGTTATTAGTCGGTATCAGTATTGCACTAGTGGTTGTTGCTGCAGTCAATACGAATAGAATATCAACCAATTTCATCAGAACGATAAATGAGTCCAAACAATAGTACAAAAGTAGAGTGTTAAAACTGGTGTCGATTATAGGAATGAAGGCACTCGATTGTATTTATATGTTTTGTATATCGAACCAACCCTTTTTGGTTAACCAATTATATAGGGTTACTTGACTGCTTGTAATGAGCAATCATCAAATTAGACAGTATGTTACTCCCTATCCACAATATCATATTGATCAATTTGATGATCGTGTCGATTAAATTATGCTTTTACGACCCTTTTATCAGGTATATTGAAAAGCACCCTTCATGAGTGTTGTGTAACCGCAAACGCTTTGCTTTACAATCGTATTCATCATGCAATGTCTGTGCTCTGCATTGAAATATGCAATGATTACTACACATTGACTGCATTGCGTGTTTGATATACAACGATCATCATATGACACACAATCAGACTATAGTGTTAAATCTACACTTTGTGCACTCTTAGTAATCATACATTGTACGATCACCAAGTTTGAACCCACATTCATGTATTGTGGTTGACTGTCAATGTTGTCAATACAACTCTATACACACATTTGTTGTATTCTGAATCACGGATACGATCACAATCTAGTTCAACAACAATCATGACACATGTCAGTAATGCAACTGTTTATTACACACCAACACTGTTATTTAGTGGTCCATTTACATCAATATGGCTGCAAGTTGTCGTTATATCACGTATTCTTGGCATGGTTTTGATATTGCACATCCAGTTCCATCACATTGTTGCTGACCCATCATTGTAACGCTGTATGTATCAAACACTGGCATGTCACCATAACCATAACCAGTAAAATGACACTCGAGTTGTTTACTGTAATCAGTATATGCAACCCAGTGTGACTGCACATACTGGATCCAATCTTTTGGTTGTTTCAGTTGACCATGATTCACTTTTGATGTTTTGTCCGATTGACAATACAAATGTGTCGAGCTGAACCCAAACTACACGACTCGACTGTTCATGTCAATTGGGTCGTGACTGAGCTATGCGATCATGATGTGTATTCAATTCATACCATGTATTACCAATGCAATAGTATGCGTGATCATCGTGTACCAAACAACTACGATACACACTGGACTGATCCAATACACGCATGGCTTGAACATATCACACAATCAAACATGGACACACCACATTAAAAATACATACAGTATCAGTTTGTCACTAATGAATTGTATTCAGTCGAGTTTATTGAGAGTTGTTGTGTGACTCTTGACAGCGTGGTGAGTGTTTTCAGGTACAACTCTTTGGTCAGTTGTAGTTGATGATTGCTAACACCAAGAGTCCTAACGTACATCATACCAACTATAAATAATCAGGATCACCATCCATTCAACAAATAACCGATTTTATTGATATATCTGTTTAGCCATCAAGTTTTCTTGTAATTAAACTTTAGCCGCCTACTACTACGACGAGCACTATCACGGAGAGTACTACCAAATCGCGAAAATGATCTCCTGAGAGTAGATGTACCATCTGAACTTGAAGTACTTGGTTGTTCAGGCAATCTAACAGTATGCATCAATATCAATATCAATTGACACATTCACATATCAATATCAAACGACTTACTGTGATGGTGACCAGAGCACTCGATCATTGTTTGAAATAATAGGATATCCATCAGTCGAGAGTTCACATCCACATCCAGGACCAAATCCAATGCGTGCATTTTGTAAATCAAATGTCAATATAAGTCGGGCCATAAATGATATACCAAGAGCTGCATTTTCATTTGAACCAGCTGTTACAGTAAATCTAACTATAATCCAACATGTATATTAGTCAGGTTAATCAAACAACACGTATTGCATACAATTGTCAAATATTTACCATGTTTGGAGTCAACTCTCTGTATATAGTCTTTGGGACCCAGTGTGATTGTTACAAGGGAGTTGCGATTGGCATCAGTTACGGGGGTTTGAGCAAACATTGTAATTGTAAGCGACGGCAGCTTGATCCAATCGATATGAAAATTGGATCTAACCATTAGATGATGCTTCCAGAATATGTCATCAATATCTTCTGGATTGAGCTTGCGCTTGCGCTCAAGCATATTATTCTTAACAGTGATCGCATCACTATCAACAATAGCACTAATCAACGCTGTCACGACTACTTCAGGAAAACGCATATATAAAAGGCATGTATGTAGATATGAATACAAAATACGTCCGTCTTCTCCTTGGTTTTTTTGAAATTCCTCGGGTAGCTCCACTAGTTCGTCATTGACTAGTATACTCTTGATGTTGACACTATGACGACCATGTGATGGTGAGTCTACCCATGCAACACTCCTTCCATTCGTTCCGCATTTTGCAGTTACGTCCGTGTTTCCTATATTGATGAAGCTTTTTGAACGCATGCCATATGGACATAGTTGAAGACCAATCTCGTTATTAGAAATGACACCATCATTGTACAAAACATCCAACACAGTGGTTTGTGGACGACGCTTTGACAACGAGGGATAACCAATCCCAAATACTCCATCAAAATTTGGACTGATACCAACTATATCTGGCGATTGTTTTTCAACTGCTACTACTGGTAACCCAATGTCAGTTATACTAGTACCCGGAATCGTCACAGTGGCTGTGAAACTAACTCCTCTATACTCTTTGCCTTTGTACTCTATAGTAACGAGCCTCCCACTTGTAATACTTAGTATATCCAAACCTAAGTTGTTTTTTGAAGTAGGATATGGTACGATCGTATCAGACATTACTGAATCGACTTGTAAATTCAACTATTTTAAACAAGTGTGAGATTGATTCAACGTGGTGCAAATTGATATTAAACTACAATGCATGACATGATACATACATTGATTCCATAAATATTGAATTTCATTCTGTAACATTTGTTAATATCACCACCCAATTCAACGGGTGATCGTTTTGACAGCCTATTGTTTGATTGACTGGCACTTTCAATTGGTGATTCTAATTCAAGTCGAACTGCAGCAACCGCTTGTAACGCAAGTATAACGCATTCTAGAGTAATCAACATTGTATCGAGTAGTGTAATGAAAATGGATTGAATCTGATACATGACTGCTGTTTTATAATGACGGCAGTTTCAAGGGTGACAATCGGCACCTTTCAAATCTGATCAGAAAAAGCCAAGCACCATGTAGGGTGAACAAACCCAGAAACACCCTGTAGGGTGGATCGATATACAAGTATCGCTGTTGGTGGAAAATCAACTTCAGTAGTATACTGTGTTCATCTCCAATTGCGGTCATGTATGCAGTGGTCAGGTAGTGTCACCCTGATTATGGATAGTTATCATCACATATACAATCCATCACTACAGCATATACTGTCACTGTATACCAAATACTTGACTGATTGTCCAATTGGTCATGTATTTGATCACTCGGACACAACAGCATCAAACAGCCTGTTGTTTCAGTGTTTCAAACCATGATTCTTCCGTTGGTATGACTGCACAGTCATTTTAGGTTAATGTAGACTGTATACATCAAACACTGCTGATTGTGTCACAACATGATCAATACCAAACTCGGCAAACTGTCGCTGCTACACTGAATGAGTGACATTGTACTATAATTGAATTGGAGATTGGCAGGTCGTTCAACAAACTGGCCGTGTCAACAGGTCAAATTGTCATCGTATACATGAACCACAATGGATGATCATGTCATTCAAATCAGCACACAATCTACTGATATATGCAAAACAACACCACCAATACAATCCAGATCAAACCCAATCACAAACGTGGTGTTGAATCCAATGCATGCGAGTACTTTTTAAACACATGATACACACTGATGGTGATGGTTGCTGACAGTCACATTGCAGTGCACATGTCCAATAGTGTCCACTGTCATGTCAATTGTTGCTATCCGTGGCATTCAACTAGATCACAATCAATGTCTAACAAATACAGCACAGTAAACTAGTCACGAGTATCCAAGAGTATATCAATTGATGTGATCCAACAAAACAGCAGAGTATTGACTGTTTTGTTAAAGTGCATTCAATCAAGACACTCCAGTATCTCGAGTAGAAATATCAGATCTGTTCACCTTTGCACTGAATCCACAACAAATCGCACAGATTACAAGCAAAATTTGGACAAATCGAAATGGCTCAAATTTACAGCTAAAACCAAAATGGTATACAATCGCATTGATGTAGAGTTGAACATTATCTTGCAGTGATTGACTGTTGGTTTGGAATAAACAATGCTGAATATTGGTTGTAGTTTTGTACTTGACATTGACTGTTGATTCGATATACATTATGAATTATTATAAACAGTGTCAGTGATATGATGCTCACAAACTATGATTTAAACTGAAATAGTCTTGAACCGGCGTTTGTTGTTTCTGTTGTATTTTGAATCACAGATACGATTGCAATCTAGTTCAACAATAATCATGGCATATATCAGTAATGCAAACAACAGTTGCATGCCAACACTGTTATTTGGTGGTCCATTTATGTCAATATGGCTGCAAGTTGTTGTTATATCACATATTCTGGACATGGTTTTGATATTACGCATCCAGTTCCATCACATTGTTGCTGACCCATTATTGTAATGCTGTATGTCACCATAATCATGGACATGAACATGAACATGTGGTTTCACGTATAATATTACAACCATGCATGTCGTTAGTTGAATCATCACTACTAGTGTATAATACACTACACTACATGTATGTTGACATGTGTTGTACCAATTTGATTGCATTGCTACAATGTGGCATGCTCCAACCTGTTTGAATGACTGTTGTGCAACATATTGGTATTGACCACATGTGATACTGGTCACCAACAAAGTGATCAGCGGTATTCGATCGTATCATTCAATCACTGACTGCCAATACTTCAATTATGAATATTATCCACCATTTCATGACACCATCTGATACATTCAGTGCACAGTAGCTGATTGGTGCAATATGATCAATTCAAGCATACTATTACATTGGAAATGGTGGTGACAATGCAAGGTGTTTATTGGACAAACAAGACTGAATGCTTACATGACAAATGCAAATTGACAGTATAAATCATATAATACACACTGCAGTACAACATATTCTAAACGAGGTTGTTGATAGCGTGATTCCAGTTTTACAATGAAATTGAATTACCAAGCAGTTTATTATCCAAACATTGATTTACCATGCACTTTTAGTTATGGTGGTTTGTGTAGAAATATTCAAGTAGACTTTTTATATCCAATGAACCTCAGCATTTGTCGTTTGAATCTATTAAACTTTGAACGTAATGAAGGAAGTTGAATATCATATTCTTGCAGTACACTAGATTCACTTGAATATCTAGCAATTTTAGTTGTTGGTACAAAGTGCACTTTAGCTTCCCTTGAACCAGCATCGTGACTTGATTTCTGATGATGTTTTTTAGAATGATCGTGTTTTGAGCCGTGGGGTTTAAAAGTAGATCCAGGTTTCAAGATGGATTTTAATTCTGGAGTAGGTTCAGATACAACTCTGATTGATTTTTCTTCGAGAGGTTCAAGAGCCAACTTGCGACACACCCATAATCTTCCTAGCTTCAGCATCTTCAAATTCTTTTTATCAGATGAGCTCATTCTACGCTCCTTTTGTTTAGTTTCTAGTATTCTTTCCTTTGCCTTGGTGCTCATCTTGTGCGGATATCCGTCTCCAACATCAGTTGGAATTTCCATACCCATATTCTTCATTATTTTTTCGACTCTATCCAGTTTTTGCTGAGGTGTGAGAATGGGCCGTTCATTCTCTGGGATATAGTTTTTAGGAAGATGACAGACGTCGTCGTATAGTGTGTTGTCAAATATATCATCATCTGACTGTTTGGACTAAGAGTATGACGATAATTCATTGGACTGTTCAACAGAGCTGTCTGAATCATCGGGATCTATAGTCGACTGAGCTACATCATGATTGGTTCCAGTTGATTGTTGCTCTGTTCCAGTTGAAGCGCAAATACCAGTGTGTTGCTGCATGTGTGTTGAACATTCTTTTACAGGTTCTGATTTGCTGGCAGACGGACTATCAATGACTACTGCACTGACTGTCACCGACAACAGTGACAACACAATAGTCGATATGAATTTCATCCTGTCGACCAAAATGAATGTGATAAAGCTTGTCAATTAGTAGGACAATTCTTGGTAATGAATGGGTCAGTTGTGGATATGGACCATACCTTCATAGCGATTAAATATATAATCAAGACACAAGGGTTATATAAGCTTACGCAGCAACAACGCAACTGCTATTTAGGTATATGTAGCACATATACTCATGTGTAGGCTGTTTTATGCACAACTCTTCAGCCATTGAATGAAACAGGACTCATAGTCAAGGACTGGTGACCCTGACCCATATACTAAAGAATATGTCAAGATCGATTGGCATATTCAGTCAGTTTCAAGTTACGGTCAGTATAGGGTAACAGTTTATCCACACAACAGCTGGTCAAATATTAGTGGTAAAATCCTTCAAACGGCTGCTTCAACACTTGATCTAGTGATATGATACTGTGTTGCAGTCCTGTTCAATGCAGTATGGATTGATGGTCATATCAGCAGTATCAATACTTTATGCCAACTGTAATACTTTCAATACGCCAACTCAAAGTATTGCCAATGATTAGAAAGCTTCAACAGAACTCTTGAACTGACAATTGTCATGCTATCAATAGTATGAACATCCGACTCAATACTGTACATGACTGATTGTCAAGAGTCTTGCAGCATTTACTTGTCAAACTGGATTCCTGTTTCGATTATACAAACATGACATCAAACACATGTCTACTTTGGAACAAGACGTTGAGTTGAATGTCCAGCAATATACAAAAATATACAAAAACAGCACGAATTGAATGTCAAAACTCGATTACTAACAATTTCAAATCTACACAAACGAATACGACAACTTGCAGTCTAGTCATGTAAACGGAACACTAACAGTGTTGGTGTGTAATAAACAGCCAGTGTCATGTCATGGTTGACAATACAGTGGTGTTGTTGGTGATTGACATGCATGGTTGCATTACTGACATGTGTCATGATTGTTGTTGAACTAGATTGCAATCGTATCCGTGATTCAGAATACAACAAATGTGTACAGAGTTGTATGGACAATATTGACAGTCCAACACAATACATGAATGTGGGTTCAAACTTGGTGACCATACAATGTATGATTACCAAATGTGTCGAGTATCCATGCGGGATACTAAATGGTAATATGTGATGATCCAAGGGACTCGTATCACCAATGTTTGTGTGCCATAATTCCACTATTTGACTTGGTAAACAATAGGAATTACACCTATTGATCAATTTACTTTTCTGATTGCTCATCATACATTCTACTTGTTCGTGTCACCAAGATACAAACAATCAATTACTACAAGACTGACTATAACTCATATTTATTAATAAATGACTCTTCCAACCATTTCAACATATTATTGTTTTATTACATCTTTTCATTATCATTGAAAAAACCAAGTCTGCTGATCCTGAATTACTGTGCAACTCCCATTACACTTTTGATTTGTTATTTTCTGTCAACTACTAACAGTTACAGATCATACACACACACCTCCATTTAAATTAATATAAATCAGATTACACAAAACTCCAACAGAGTTGTTGGTTGTTGATGGGCAAGTTGGATATAAAGTTGTTTTCAATCAATCCGTTGGCAATCATGATAGCATACTTTGATTTGTATGTACGCAATATTGCTGTCATTTTGTGTATGATGTTTCCTATTTCTACAAACGCATTCCATTTCCAGCTGTTTCCTTTGCAGACATTTGATGTTGTGTAACAATGAGGGTGTAAAATGTAGTACAGAAATAGACGACTAAATTACAATTATTCCAACGGATTTAGCACTCTTGTTCAAGTAAAACGGTATCATCCGATGCTCACTATACACTACTTGTACGTTGAATCATGCCAATCACTTGCTATTTTAACAAGCATGAAATATCACAACAATATTGATGACCAACTAATAGCCGAGTGTCAACTCATTTCAGTCTCAGTTTATACTCATTTCTTAACCCTAACCCTTGACCATAACCCTTTTCAGAGTGAAGCTGCATAATCAACCATATGATATTTGAATACACAGGTGGCGGTTTAATCAAAATTGTGGATCGTCATATAAAGGGATATCCCTTCAAAGTTTGGCATTGATAACAAATCAATATCAACCCTGACAACAACACAAGCCCTTAGGACGGTTATTCAAGGGATATGCTTTTAATACCATTTATTCAGTAATGGATATAAACATGGTTCAAAAACCGACCTGTTGGATGACATTACAACTTGCTCAACCAAACCAGTAGAATGAGACTCGCAGTTGCTGTATTGTCATCGATCTTGCTTGCCCTCTCGGTTACTACAGCCAGCCCAGTCAACCCCAGTGCAACTACAGATGTTGAAACTAGCACTTCAACCGTCATTCCCAGTGCAACTACAAGTACTGAATATAGTCTTTGGATAGTTCCTAATCCAAACGGTATAGGCTTGGGTGCTCTTGATGCACTTCCAGATAACGTCAAGCATTTACTCGACAAATACGTAGAGTTACAGGATGCTCGTAATCAGCAAAGCAAAATATATTGGCCGTTAAAATCTCAATATGACAGTCAATATGACGTGGTACTGGGCGTGGAAAAAGATCTTGAAATTCTGAAATATCAATCTCAAAAAGGCAATGGCAATCCAAAATATGGTGACATTGAGAAGACTAAGCTTGATCTTGAAGACCAAAGATCCAAACTTGTCAAACTTCGAAAAGATCTTGATGAGTGCGAGTCCGAGATTGGTCATCTTGCAGAAAAAAAATGGGAGGCCGATAAACAGATTGTGAGTCTCGTTTTCGGAACCCCTCTGAATCCTGATTTATTTAATTACCAACTTTTGCTTATCAAAGAAACGCCTTCCGTTAAAGATTACCTTGAAGAACAATTATCAAAATACAAGGATCTTGGTCAGAATCATGGTGATCAACAACGTCAAGACTCGCAATCGTCATTGGATACACTATCTGAATCTGGATCCAATCGGAAGAGTACTTCCAATAAACGGAAAAGGGTTTCCAAGCTTGTGGATGAATTGAAATCATTCTTTAAACGACCCAAACATGACGATCCATCCAATTGATTTGAATGTCAATCTGGACTTGTTTCAACCGATTCAATTGCCATTATGGTTTAATTTACAATAAATTTGTATGTGCATGCATTATATCTGATTATTGTACACAGTCTTGATTGGCATGATATCATATTGTACATTGACACTTGTATTTCCCAATCAATACAATACAGTTGATTGTATATTGCATAGTTGTACACATTGATGATGCTGACATGCATGTGTGTATTGTGTCGATATGATATTTCTTGACATGTCGTATTGGCACATGCAATACCAATACCAACAATAGTCATGTGTGTTGATATCAGATCCGACCAATTTGACTGGTTTGACTCGTTGATTGTGGTATCAAAATGGTTGCATCAATAGCTTGACTGATCACACACATCAGTCGCAGTATCAACTCTGTCGTGTGTCAAGTATCACATGTTGAATATACAATGCCAACAATATGGTCATTATGCACATGTTGATGTATGCAGTGATCGTATACTGGTTGATTGGTGCAATATGATCACACACCAATGGAATGTGATAATCATGATATTTGCAGCAGTATACCATATTAAACTGATACAATACATGCACGGTTTGGACATATCACACACATTACAATAAATGGCATGATACATACATTGACTTCATCAACATTGACTTTAATTGTGTAGCATTTGTTAATATCACCACCCAGCTCAACGGGTGATCGTTTTGATAGCCTATTGTTTGATTGACTGGCAATTTCAACTGGTGATTCTAATGCAAGTCGAACTGCAGCAACCGCTTGTAACGCATTCTAGAGTAATCAGCATTGTATCGAGTAGTGTGATGAAAATGGGTTGAATCTGGTACATGATTGCCGTTTTATAATGACGGCAGCTTCAAGGGTGACAATCAGCAATCTCCAAATGGGTATTTAGAAAAAGCCAAATACACCATGTAGGGCGAATCAATATACAAGCATCGTTGTTGGTGTATAATTAACCTCGGTAGTATGCTGTGTTGATCTCTCCAATTGCGGTCATGTATCCAGTGATCAGGTAGTGCCATTATGGATAATTATCATCGCATCTACAATCCATTAATACAGCATACACTGTCATTGTATGCCAAGTATTTGACTGATTGTTCAATTGGTCATGTTTTTTGACCAGCATCCATCTGTGCACTGTTTAGATTGGTCCCATTTGTCATTTATCAGTCAATTTGTATACAGGTCGGGTTATCCAACGACTCGCTATCATGCAAATTCAAATACAGTCTATGCAACAGTCGGTTGTTTTTGTGTATATCCAGATTGAACTACCAATAATGGTTATTTCAAAGTCACTCAATATCCTGCCAATTGTCATTGTGATTGTATTCCACATCCAATTATAGATTGTAATCACAACCACAATTATCGTGTTTGATCAAATGATGTTTTGCATTGATCATGATATCATACATCACGATACTGCCAGATCACTGCACACAAGTCATGATCAATACAAATCTGCATTACTGATTGACACTGATCGACACCATATATACAGTCAGGCAGTACAACAAATCACCAGCATGCCATTGACCGTGTTGCAATACAATTGACCAATATATCATGCTGTATGTTGCACCAAGTCGCGACATACAACAACATTACTGACTGAATACAAGTCACAACTGCAAGTATTCATATGGTAATGGACTGACATTGGTGTTGATATTGAATTGATTGACTAATCGATCATCATCAATTGCATCAGTGGTTGGTATATTCAACTGATATACACCATGTCCGAGTCTGATACATGTCGATATATGCGTGTCAATCAGCAATGCATATTTGTGACCACAAGTCGAATGTGAGTCGAGTCGATCACTAAACCAACGAATCAATGATTGCAGTCTAAATGTAGTGCGATTTGATGCGACATGACAATATATTGTCCAACAGGTTCAACATACACAACACCGATATTCAATACATCACACATGTATACACTGCGTATACAAGCGGTAGCAATGACCAATCCAAACCAACAGTGACAGAGTTACTCATCAACATATAGTCGATCATCAGTCGAGTCTGCATATATCAACCAGTTGCGACACGTCATAATCAATGTGGATTGTATTGTCCACCAATCGATCATGACAGCTAATCAATACCAATCATGTAGTCAATACAATCACCAACATATCAATGATTGTTGACTGGCGGTTACGACTCGTCAATTGCATCCAATGTTACAGGTGATGCACATTTGATTACTGCAAAGCAACAACTTGTCAATCATATCATAGTGTGCATTACCAACGGACCATGCAATTACAAATCAATGTATACGTGATCAACATTTGATATTTGATAGTGATGAATCAACCATGATCGATTGTATCATACAACTAATACAGTTGCATTGTCTGGTATGTATGATTGGCCCACTCATGTCAAACAGTAACTAATGTGTGTATATCGAGTTTGTGTTGCATGGACACATCAAGGTGTTTGATAACGAGTCCAACGTGATGATACAAACCCAATATTATATGAATATCCAAGTTGATGAATCAAGTCAAGGTTTACAAAGTGTCAATATGTCAGGTCAATCAAACGAACCAGTCAACCATTATATTGTGACTAGTGATGGCACGGTTTGAATGTCAACGAGTTGGACAGTCGACAATATGGGTGATTGTGATTTGGTCAAACCGCAATACTCGCATATCACTAAACCAGTTTGATGTGTGTGGTGTAGGCAGTATGCATAAACTCGTTGATATCATGGACTATAACCATTCAGGAACGGGAAAACTGGGTAGCATGTTTCAACGGCTTGAATTTTTAGGAGATGCAGTGCTTTCTTACCTTGTAATGCAACATTTGTATAAAATTACACCACCGTTGAATCCAGGTGGATTATCAAAACTTTGCGCTGAGCTTGTTTGCAATCAATTTCTGGCATGTGTGTCAATTCAAATTGGGTTGGTAAAGTATATACGCCATACAGATATGACTATGGAAGCAGCAATCGGGCGGTTTACTGCATGGGTTCAAGGCTATCTCGCATCTGAATCATCTACTCCATTACCAATATCGACGTCAGCTACTCAAATTGCCTCTGCTCGAATGTTTTGGAACAAGGGAAATACAGCACCAAAAACTGCAGGTGATGTTTACGAGTCCATGCTAGGTGCTGTATTTGTAGATTCTCAATTTGATATACACTGCGTGCAAAGCATGTTTGACATCACAGTGATCTCACCTTGGTGGTGGCGATTCACATCGCTGTTTGGTGGAGAATCAATGATATACGAAAACCCAGTTGCTGAATTGCGAACCTTGTCCTATTCATTGTTTAAATGTGTCAAGATAGATTACACGTATGTTTTTTGTCGGGTAAATTTGACAACTACAAATCTATTGTCTGCATTTCTGTTGAATACAATTGCCAAAAAGTACTGAAATCCAACTATTTTTAAAAACAAAACATTCAGATATGAATATGGTCTACATGGAGGTACTACCGCAACTATCACGTATCACAACATGGTATTGGCTCAATGTCTCGGCACTGGGCAACGCGATGCCAAAAAAGCAGCGGCATGTACAGCCGTCGAGTATGTCAATATGCACAAAGACGAGCTAAAAGACTTGTGTGATTGTGCACATCAGCAAAAACAGGAGTCCACAGAGACAAAAGTATATGCAGCCGATAGCATCATTTGTTTTGATTCAGACAAGGACAAGCCGACACGGTCTAATAAGGAATCGGCTCGGCTTTCTATCGAGTATGCAACAACTACTGATCAACAAGATCCGGCAAGTGATTGGGGTGAGTCTGTTGATCAAGCAACGCATGCACCACTTGAATCTATTGCAGTTTCACCCGATACTTTGTAATGCACGAGTCGAAGCATGCTGAAGGCTTATCGTGCAGTAATGATTGCGCATCCATCCACACTGCAATAGAGATCCACTCCACAGCTGCAACCATAGTAATGAACCAGTCTAATTATAATCTTGAAATATCGAGAATTAATATATTGCAGCTTGACCAAATTTGTAATCGTCATCATCCATCATATCTGCTGCAGAATAACTGGATGAGCCAATATTAGCAACACATCCTCGAGTCTTGCTTTTAGGAGTCGAGTTGGATACTATAGTCTTGGATACCTTTCCTGCTTTCTTGGAGCGTAATACAGCTTTAGTCTTTCCAGCAGCAGTGGGTTTATCACCTAACCGGTCAATAAGCCGCTTGCCAAGACGATTCTCAATTGGACCTGGTTTGGGTCCAAGACGCTTTACAAGGGGTTTGACCACTGAAATGGTCTTGGATGCTTTAGTACGACCATTACTTTGCTTGGTCATCATACTGGCAGCAGAATTGGACATTTTATGACCAGTCTGTTGTTGCTGCTTCAAGAGAGTTGCAGCAGTCTTTGCATCAAGTCTTTTGTTAAAAGTGGATGGCTCAAGTCTTTTCTGAACAGTTGTAGAGGATGATGGATGAACTGCTCGAGTCTTGGCAGCAACAGCTCTATCCCTTTCAATCAATGCAAACCTTGAGGCGAATGCAGCATGAGTATCGTTAATACAAACCATTTACACGTAGCAATGGCTGAATACTATCATTCTAGCCAACACTACTTACCGCTCAGCCAATGTCATGATAATATATCGACAAGATCTGAACCAACTTCAAACTTTATTTAATCATTCTGCATATTGGATGATATGCCAAGGAATTCAGTTCAATATAAGCCTCAACAGTTCCATGAAGTTCCCGAAACACTATTCCATCCCAACTGTGCTCCATACGCTGTATTAATCTGGCATGCTGCCGAATTGAATGTTGTCAGCGCATTTTGGGTTGCAGTCTGTAGATACAGCGCATTGGCATGTGCTGCAGCTTGCTGATTAGCAGCGGCTATATTATTCCAAATAGCCTGATTCTATAATGGGTTTACATGTTAATATTTAGAATAGTAACTCAACCCTTCGAGTTTAAAGTTACCTGAAGTGCGAGATTTTGCTGCAGAGCAATCATTGCATTATAATAATTGCCATCGTTGTCCCAGTAAGTAGACAAACAGCCAGCATTCCACAAAACATTTCCATAACTAGCCAGATTGGTATTCCAGTTCTGCCACTGAGCCCAGTATACAGATGGATCAACCACTGGTGCCGCGGCTGCACCACCAACAGCATTGGCCGAAGCAATAGCTACGCCATTGGTTGCTATGGCAGTAGCAGTGGCCTGAACTTGTGCTTGAATGGCTGTTTGTTGTTGCTGCATGGTGGTATGAAACTGCATCGCAGCAGTCCCATATTGATCAAGAGTGTATGGACAACCTGTGCCCAAATCGCGTTTCTCAGTCGTGTAACCCATAGTAGTATAAGATGGAATGGCTGCTGCGATCTGCACCATCACTGCAGTTATAATAGTAAACAGATACATTTTATAAATAGCCAAGATTGGTTGATCAATAAAGATAGTGTATTGGCTTTTATATTCCTCAACTGCAAGGTTTTATTCCCACATTCGAATCAAATACAGCTTTACAATCCATTCCAACAAATAATAAAATAGCTTAAACATCCT